TAGTAAGTAACTGGATGTTCCCTTCAGTTTAGGAGCAAATGCTTACTCTCAGGAACTCTTATTTTAAACTCTTTTCTTAATAAAGTGAAGAGCCTAGAAAGCATCACATGAAGCAGGAGCCCCCTCCTGGCCCAGCACTCTGTCTCACCCTTCCTGCAGCGGGGCTCCTGACTGTCCCACCCATGCCCCAGTCAATCCAGTAACAGAAATGTCTGCTGTCAAAAATTAAACTCAGTTGCATAATATTAAGGGGTGATAATTCTCATTTCTTCAGGCACCAGAGGATATATGTGATAAGGCTTTGATTCTCTCCAATTCAGGCTCTTAATACATTTCCAGTCTCTCCCCTACACTGCCTCATCAGCTTGGCTTATACTCCTCAGTGAGCCCTGCATTACTTGTGATTACATTTGCACTCTTTGTGCCAATTAATTCGACTGGGATTGACCCGCAGTTTGCTCAAGCTTGAGTTCATAGCCTCCTAGGCCAAGGTCGCCCTCATAAATGTTTTCCTTGCTTGGAGCCTGGGGTGAAGCTTTCTGGTCCGGACCCAGCCTTGGAGGGGGACTGTGGGGGGACGAGGCTTGCTCCTGATAATTCATGGCCAGCTCGTCCTGGTTGACAATGCATTCCACATCATCCTCTTTTAGCTGTTCCTAGTTTTCAGAAAGAGAGGGAGAGGTCATTTCATGATAAAGGCAGAAAATAATAGCAGTCCTACAGTATAAGCAAATGGGATGTTTTCCTTTTTGTAACTACTCTGTCTTGCCTTGGCTGATATTTTCTTGAGTCAACACTGAAGACTTGACACTACACATAGCCATAGGGGTCTCTACGACTAAGGTAAGAAGCGCTGGGCAGCGCATGCTAGAAATGGTGAGAAGTTACCGTGGTGGAAAATGCCAGAAACTGACTGGCCAATAGTACTTTTCCTCATACAGAGGTTCCCTTGAAATAAAAAATTAAGATCATTCTTCTTCTATTTGCTCTGGGAAGGCCACCCTAAACATGGACCCTGGCTAGGTGACCTTAAGGCAGTGGCAGAGGTCCCCAGCCTTAGCCTACACCAGCAGCCTGTGGATGGCCTGTTAAAACACAGCTGTCCAAGCTCAGTTCTCAAGTGGGGCCTGAGCAGGTGCGTTTCTAATCTGTTGCCAGGTCATGTGCGGCGGCTGGTCTGCCCTTGGCTGCTGGGCCCTGAACATGTCTGACATGATTTTTCTATGTTTCTGTTAGGGGATGGACAACCTCTAAGAGGAAGTCTAACTCTCAGTTACTGCTCTTTTCCAATTCCCTGACACTCTGATTTGTTGGTAAGAATTCTAATCGCTTCTCAGCATTTTTTTTTTTTTTTGTTCCATTCCCTTGAGCCGTAAAACATAGGCCTAATATTCAAAACCTCAAAACACAGCAGTTTGTGAGGACACATTACTCCTTCCACATGTTCTAAGGTCATTTTATGGTTAAAAATGTTTAACAATAAAAAATCACATCTTTAAAAGAATAAGCCAACATCAGCAACATCTGACAAGGGAAGAGAAATGCTTCTTGGCACAGTGAATTTTTAAAATGCTTCCTCCTCAAGCCGGGGAGTAATAGGCTTGAGGTGCCTGGGCTCATCAATATTCACCCAGCCTGTCCCACGTGGGATATTTACTCACCCCATAGGCCTGAGGACTGGTGAGCAGCCTGGAAATCGGACCACACCATTCAGGTAACGTTGTGGTCAGTGGAGGGCCAGCGTGTGTTAAAATCGGTTTCAGATATCTGGGAGGCCTGTTAAGGAATACTTGTCAAAAGGGAGTTAGGATTTAGGAATTTCACACCGCACAACCTTTGCATGCGGTAAAAGAGACAGTTATGTTCACCTTTAAATCCCCTGCCCTTTCGTTTAGGAAGCAATTTGCTGTGCCAAAATTGCTGTTTGTAATCTTTGCTGCACATGCCACACACACGTTCCTGGCCCTCCTGATTTAGCCTTTAATCATGAAGAAATGGTGAATGGACCACGCCGTGTCAGGTGTAAATGTGCTCTTCCCATTCCCCACTCAATGTCTCATCTGTTTAGAGAATGCATTCTTAAGAATTACCTTAAACAATAGCATAAAAGATTGTTTTTTTCCCCAAAGCTGCACATACAGCTTAAGCCACCAGTAATTTTCACAAAGAAGAGGTATTTCATAAAATGTTCAGTTAGTTTAGAGCTGGGTGGTGAACACAGATTGTTTTCCAAAATACCTTATTTTCACTATTCAACACAGTCACTTTATACTTCATACTTCAATGCATTTCCATACAAAATTATGTAAATAAGCTGGTGCCAGGTTTATTCTATTGTCTAGCACCTGTCTTTCTCATCTCTTCCTTCCAAAGTGCTCTAACAAGTTAAAAGAAAAACCTGTTCATCTAAAGCCATTATGTTTCCCTCCAATCTATCAATAATGAAATCCCCAGAGGCTGACTCAGGTTGCCAGTTTTGGGGTTTTTTTTTGGGGTTCAAAAAGAAACAGAGAGGAATTATTTCACCATTCCATCCAAAATGACTTTTAAGCTTTATATTATTTCCTCTGCTGGAGAATAGTTCACCTCATCAAACTTCTGAGAAGCCATAGTAGATAGAGAAGGGGGGTAAATGGAAAGCAGTTAGCACTGGTTGGCCTGTGAAGATCCGCAGCTGCCCCCAAAGACTCGGGGTGTGAGATTGTGGGGAGGCCTCTAATGGAGCGGGCCCATAACTGGACAGCACCCATGTCATCCCTGTGACACCCTGAGTGTATGGCACAGGGGAGGATGCAGCCCAGGGGAGTCCAGGAGTCTTGTTGCTCCTGGCTGGAGCCATTAAGCAGCAAAGCAGAGGGGTGTGCATGAACATAGCCTAGTTATGACAGTAGGAGGGTGACTGGGGAGGGTCTGCAGTTCCAACTGCACATGGAAAGCTTGGCTCTTCCTTTCAGATGGGCAGCCGTTGTGCCCAGACAGGGACCAGGGGAGATATTAAAGCTCAGGACTTGGCATTTCCTGTAACATCTTGTAAGTTTATGTACTCATCTGAAAAGCGCTTGATCTTCCATTCATTTTCATTAGAATGTTATTTCCTTCATTTTATGGATGAAGGAATTGAGTCCTAGAGATACGATTTTAAGCATTCCTTGGCTATTTGAGCCTACCAATATCACCCTTAGAAGATAATTTATCAAGACAGAATCATACATTGCATCTAGCTGGGTTTTCTAGCGAGTAAATACACAGATCTTATCCTTGTTGGTGAACTGTGGACTCTTTCAGACAAGTGATCTCGTTAGAGTTTCTGGTAGACATAGGTCAATGAAGGTGCTTCTTAAGGTGGTGAGGTAGATAAGATATATGTACAACTGGAGAAAATCCAGGAAAATCCAGCTAATTTTATTTCTGGATGGAAAAACCACAAGTCACAGCAAGTAAGCACCATGAGATATCATGTTAAAAAAAATGTTTGTCAAACCTCAAGAGTTTGAGAGAGGCCTGGGTAACTTCCACTGAGCTTCTCAATATGCTAAAAATGCCAAAATGTTACACAGTTCTAAACTTGCGTTTTACCTTTACAATGAACTTTTTTTTTTTTTTTTTCAGCCAGAGGAGTTATGTGTTTATATCTATGGACAGTACTTTTTACCTGTGATTTTGCTTTTCATGGTTTTTAGTTATCAAGTCAACTGCAACCTGACAATATTAAATGAAAAATTCCAGAAATAATTCATAATTTATAAATTGTGTGCTATTCTGAGTAGTGTGATAAAAGCTTACGTTATCCCCTCTGTCCCTCCTAGGATGTGAGTCTCCCTTTCTTCAGAGTCTCCCTGCTGTAGATGCCATCTGCCCCTTAGTCACCTGAAGCCATCTTGGTTAGCAGATTAAGAAGACATAGAATATACAGAGTTTGGTGCTATCTGAGGTTCCAGGCACCCACTGGGGGTCTTCAAACATAGCCTTTGTGGAGAAGGGGGAACTACAGTATAACGCTATCGGAGCAAACACTAAACGTGTAGTTTTTGTGAATCTCAGCACTAAACCAAACCCTTGGCCTCCTCTGAATAGGCTCTCAGACGGGCTTGGAAGATGTGTTCATAAATGCCAGCTCTGACACTTCACTGGCCCTGTAACCTGCAGTCTGGTCATTTACCCTCTCAGCCTCAAGCTTTGTTGTGAATATTGAATGAAATAGCATATGTAGAAGTGGTGTTAAACTTTGACATGCTAATCAAATGCTACTTATTTTATCTTTAAAATTTATTTTTCTTTTAAGACTTTCTAGAGAAACTGGTGTTTCAGTCATGATTCAACTTACGATGGGGAAATGATTCAAATGACGGAGGTGGAGACAAGTACATGGCACACAGGGATTGGCGGTAGCATTGAGACTTGCAGGCTATTAAGTGTATGGAAGGGTTAGGCCAGTTCTAGGCTCCAAACAGATACTTTTGTTACAAAATGTATGGGGGGGGGGCTAGGATGAGGTGGGCAGTAGAACTTGCTGATGTTAAGATTCTTCTGGGGAGCACATGATGCCATTTTTCCTGTGTTGACTTCTCAGCAGCTGGGAGTCAGAGAAATGAGGCACAGGTTCTCTGGCCAGGAATGGGCCACACAAAGCACCATCCATCACCACAGAAGGTGGGAGGCAGAGCCTGTGTTCTCCAACATCTTGGTTTGCCCAGGGCAAACTATGTGCTCAATGGATGTTTGTTGTATTTACTGTATAGGAAAATAGGGCTGGGATCAGGGATAGAAGTAGATTCTGAATAACCATGCCAAGAAGAATAAAGGGGCCAGATTACAGCCAATAAATGAGTTTTTTTCTGAGCATAAAAGGCTAAAGAGAGGTCCAGTTGAAGATGGACCACTTGGGCCTGGGTTATTAGACAAAGAACACAAGAAGGTGGCTAAAAATAGCTTTTGTGTTTTATTCACTCCCCCATTCCTTTGTTCCTTTGTACACTCACATGTTTTTGTTTTGAGTGACAACTTAGTGAGCTACAGACACAAAGCACCCATACCAGGAAAGTAACAATTACATTATCGAATGGAAAACTCCCTTTTTCTCCATACTGGTTTCCTTAAGGGCAAGGCTATCTTCTTTAGCTGGATGCAGTGCTTGGCCCTTTTAGATGCTCAAGAAAGAGTTGTTGAATTAATGACAACAGGCTCAGAGAGGGTAAACAAATTGCTCGATGGAACCCATCAATTCAGAGCTGGGCCTGAAACCAGAGACTACTCTTCTAGCACACTGAGCTGTCTTCTTTCTGTTATAGGCGCACTGAGTCATGGAACTTGCCTAATTGGATAACTGATTTGGAATCAGGGAATCAGTGACTTTCTGAGCTCTTCATTGTTGAGCAATGACTGGAAAGTAGCTGGATCTTCAAGGTTATCTGAATTATTAAAAAGTAAGAAAACTCTTTTGATCTAAAAGAAAAAAAAACTGCAGATTTTGCAAAATGTGTTATTTTTCTCATCAAGTTCTGTTATATGTTTGGGGAAGGAGATTCCCCATTGGTATTTTTAGTATGACTAGTTTTGCTTCTCTAATAAGCTAGAAATGCATTGAAACAAAATGTTAAGCTCTTGGGGGAAAAAAAAAACCCAATGACTTTTCTTTTCTATAAAGGGCATACGTTTGGAAATAGCAGTTTGGTTCAGGAGCTGTAAGTAAAAGCTGGAACTCTACCCAAAATTTAACATGTGTGAAATGGAAAAGACAATTAGCAAATGTATTTTTCTCTTTTGGTTTGAGCTATCAGCAGGTTCAGAGCTAAATATAGTGCTTAACTGAACTAACATCCAAAATACCTGGTAACATTGATTTTTCTCCTGTTAGTTGTTTTGATTATTTGAAATGTCATGTTTTGTCCATTGTAAGTTGCCAAAACCAGTGGGTGCATAGCTTGCTCAAGCCTGTGCTTTGTGTGAAGGAGTTTTGGTGAGAGGCAAACCCCCCAAGTACAGTTTCAGTTTCATAAATGAACACCTGCCCCCATGAGGGGACTAAACTCCATGGGCTGAATGTTTGTGCCTTCTTTACCCCCACACTTATATTTTGAAGCCCTAGCCCCCAATGTAATGATATTTGGAAATGGGACTTTTGGGAGGCAATTAACATTAGATGAGGTCATCAGGATGGGGTCCTTACAAATTAGGTTAGTGCCCTTATAAAAAGAGACATCAAGGCCCCATGTTTATGTTTTCCTTCCTTTCCCCACTACCCTACTTTGCACAAAGAAGAGGTCATGTGAGGGTGACTATCTGTAAGCCAGGAAGAGAGCCCTCACCAAAACTTGACAACACTGGTGCTGAATTCTCTGACTTTCAGCCTCTAGAACTTTGAGAAAATAAATTTCTGTTGTTTAAGTGACCCAGTCTAGGGTATTTTGTTATGGCAACCCAAGAAAACTAAGATATCTCTTTTCTTTGGCCCTCTTTAAGTCTTTGGTTTGAGAGTCCTGTGGAGCTGTGTTATATCCTGGCTTTCTCTAAACTTGTGTTATCATAAAAACCATGTAGGACATTTGTTAAAAGTTCAGATTTTAAAATACTCCCCTGGAGATTCTAATTTAGCAGATATGGGAAGTGGCCTGGGAAGTGACTGTATTTTTAGCAAGCACCCCAGGCAACTGGTCAGGTAAGTTTGGAACACAGTGGTCTTTCTTGGAGTTTTGCTCTCTCTGTAAGAGTCAAGTCTTAAACAGGCAGATGAAAGAACATGGTCTCTTTTGTCCATAAATTCATCATTT